TGATTCCCTAGCACTGAGCCAGGGTAGTTAAAGTGGACTCAAATTGCATTGTTTCTGGCAGTCTGCAAAGGCCCTTAGTTATATAATAGATATAATGAATAAAGCCTAGACAACAAAGAAATTGAAATAGTTAAAGAATTCCCATATCTAGGATCAAACACTGACCAGAATGGAGACTGCAGTCAAGAAATAAGAAGAAGACTAGGGACCTTATCAAACGCTGGCCAGCAAGCGAAAAGTAAGCGAAGCTTAACTGAACTAGACAGATTCCGAAAGGAATCTGTTTCGCCTGCGCGGCCATTGCGAAAAGTTTACGGCCGCGGAGGAGGCGGCGGCGGAGCAATAATGTTTATTGCGAAATGTTTACAGCTGCGTGGAGGAGGCGGCGGAGGAGGCTCCTTCCCGCGCCTCGCCCTCCCTCCGCACTTGCCAGTCCTCCAGCCAGCCCAAGGCACTGGCGGAGAGGCGGCTCTGGCCGCGGAGGAGGCAGCGGCGCTCCCGCGCCTTGCTTGTACATCCTCAAAAATCCGAATGTCAAAAGATCCCCTTTGACTTCGGATCAAGGGGGGAAAATACGTTTCAACTTTGGATTGCCTTTGGATATGTGTAAACACACAGAAAAAAAAATACGTTTCAGCTTTGGATTGCCTTTGGATATGTGTAAACACACAGAAAAAATACGTTTCAGCTTTGGATTGCCTTTGGATATGTGTAAACACACAGAAAAAAAATACGTTTCAGCTTTGGATTGCCTTTGGATATGTGTAAACACACGGGAGAAGTATACGTATCAGCTTTGGATACCTTCTGCTTTGGACACCCGTGTGGTAAGGCCCTAGGAATGGGAAGGGCAGCTATGAAAGAACTGGAAAAGATACTGAGGAGCAAAAAGACATACAACTGAGCACTAAAGTCAGAATCGTTCAGGCCACTGTATTCCCAATTACCATGTATGGATGCCAGAGCTGGACAGTGAAGGAAGCAGACAGAAAGAAAATCAACTCATTTGAAATGTGGTGCTGGAGAAGAGTACTGGACAGCCAAGAAGACAAACAAACGGGTTCTTGAACAGATCAGACCAGGGCTCTCCTTGGAAGCAAAGATGATCAAGTTCAGACTATCGTACTTTGGTCACATAATGAGAAGGCAGGGATCCCTAGAAAAAACAATAATGCTAGGAAAGGTAAAGGGTAGAAGAAAGAAAGGAAGACCACAAACCAGATGGATAGACTTGATCAGCGGGGTTATTATGGTCAAGGGCTTTCAGGATCTGGGCAAGGCAGTGGAAGATAGGGATTCTTGGAGATGTCTCATCCATAGGGTCACCATGAATCGGAACCGACTCGAGGGCAGCTAACAACAACAAATATAATAGATAGATAGTCTATGGGCCTTTACAGACTGCCAGAAATAATGCAACTTGAGTCCACTTTAACTGTCCTGGCTCAGTGCTAGGGAATCATGGGAACTGTAGATTATTGTGGCACCAGAGCTATCTGACAGAGAAGGCTCCATGTCCCAGAAAAAAATATAATTCTCATGATTCCCTAGCATTGAGCCAGGTGTGTTAAAGTGGACTCAAGTTGCATTATTTCTTGCAGTCTGTAAAGGCCCTATGTCTATTAATGAAAAGATAATCCAGCAATATGAAAAGAAATGGGGGTAAAGTAGCTAAATTATGGGAGAAGAGAAAGGAATGATAAATAAAACAAAAAAAATGTATGTAAGATAGAAGAAGAAGGTATAATTCCTCTTTTAGAAAATAAGTTAAGAAATGGAGAAGTGCATATAATTGATTTCAGGAGCCAACTGGCAGAGAAACAATAAATTAAAATTATTGTGTTATATTACAAGGAAGTTATATGTAGAATGTGTATAAAAAAATGAAAGTATGAAGATGAATGTATAATGAATGTTGTTTTATTTTATGATGTATTAAAACCACAATAAAAAAGATATTTACCCTTTTTGTCATTTAAAATTTACACTTTAAATTCCAAAAGAGAGAGAGAGAGAGAGAAGAAGAAGAAGAAGATTCACTCAACTCTAATTCAAGTTTCTCTTCCTCTCGTTTCTACATTTTATCCTCCCCTCCCCAGTACTTGCTTGTTACTGCCATCTTTTGTCTGTGGAGTTGGGGGTGTGTGTCAGTCAGGCAAAAATCTGTTACAGTAAACCATTATTCCTGTATTTTTTCTTATATCTTTTTTATTCAGCCAAGAGGTTAATTATAGATTAACCATCTCTCCCATATCAAACAATTTTCATAAGCCAGTCATCTATCATTGGCCATTCTTGTTTTTGGCATTTCATGTAGCATAATTTTGAAATGACTTAACAAATTAAGGAGGGTTGCAGACTGTCAGAAATAGTGCAAATTGAGTCCACTTTTAGGGTTAGGGTTAGTGCTAGGGAATCATGGGAACTGTATTTTATTGTGGCACCAGAGCTCTCTGACAGAGAAGGCTCAATGTCTCAGAAAAAAAAAACAATTCCCATGATTCCCTAGCACTAAACCTAAC